ATAGCTTTACTTAGGTCTAACCTAGTAGATTTATTATTTAACTAATTAATATTACTATTCTTGGTTTTAAGAGGTGGTAAAATCTAGATTTTATCTCTGTTATCTAGCTCTGTATGATGTAGAGCTGTCTAAGTAAATATTAAATGCTAGTATGGGTTACTAAGATTAAACTCTTTAGATTATTTTATTAAATACTTCTTTTAGGTATAAGATTAGATTATTTTCTTCTAAGAATTAGCTAAGGTAGTATTGATTAAGACTATAATTTTCTTAATATCTATAGAAAGTGAATCAATTTTATTATTATTAAAGCTAGTATTTATATTAAGTCTTAAAGAAGAGCTTATATTGTTAGTAGAAGTAATACTTAAATTAAAGAGATTAAAAGTAAGGTTGTTTAAAATAGAATTCTGTGTGGAATTCTTTTTAAATTATTTCTTTGATTTATAAGAAGTAGATTTAGTAAAATGATCTTTTTTTTTGTGAGTTTTCCTATATAATAATATATAACTGCCTGAGGGCTTATATTGTTAGGATAATGCAAACTTATATTAAATGTATTTTATAATAGCTTAAAGATAATATTTAATCTTATTAGGACCTATAAGATAAAATCTAAAAAATTTATTTATATGATTAAGATTTTTTCGCAGGATTTAGTGTATGAAATACATGTAATAATAAATATTATTTTAATTATCTTTATTAATATATTTCTTATTGAAATCCTTTACTTTGGTATATATAACTAAGAGAATCTGCTTAATACTAGGATTACAATATTACTTTTTCTATTTAGAGAGCTAGTAATTCTATAATTCTTCTTAATAAAGGAGAAAGTTTAGGCTCTATAATCAGATTTTCTACTTTTTATCAGATATAAGCTTAAGATATTACTATAGAACTAAAACATTCTTATTTAGATTCTTGAGAATTTTTTTTACTATTCTTTATATTAGTAGAAAATTAAATCTAAAGATAATAAAAACTTATAAATAATATCTTTCTAGGCTATTATTGTCTTTTCTGCAGGCTTCTTTTTAGGATTTATTTTATTATTCAACTCATTATTTGATAATAGACTAGATAATTTACTATTTAAAGATAAATCTAAAATTTTAGGACTATTTTTTGGTAATCTAGAAAAATTATTAATAGAGTTCTTAAATTCTATATTATTAGAGTTCATTTTATTATTACAGCTTTTAATTATTAGTCTTTTTATCATCTAGAGTGCTATTATAAAAAGGATTTTAAAATTCTTATATCTTAGAATCTTTTTTTTAATCTACTTAGAATAAATATCTACTTCTTTAATAGATAGAATAAGTAAGAAAAGGGTTCTATTTATATATTAGCTTTTAAAAAAAATTATTTAAGAAGGTGCTATTATAAAAAGAGTTCTAAAATTCTTATATCTTGAAACTCTTTTTTTAACCTAACTACCTAAAATAGATGTCTATTTCTTTAATAAATAGTGCGAGTAAAAAAAGGATTTTATTTATATATTAGTTTTTAAAAAAAGGTTACCTAAGAATAATCTTACTAGTTAGATAGAATATAATCATAAGAATTATCTATTATCTCATTTACTGCTTAATAACCAATAATTTTTAATATTTTAAATTAATCAATTAAATTAAAATCTAATTTTAAGTTAATAAGCTAAATATAATTTAATTAAAATAAGATAATTATATTGTATTGTTTACTCTGCTTAGTAAAGAAGAATTTTTAGTAGATTATAAGGAGAAAAGATAAGTTAATAGGTCTAAAGAAGTTAGATTAGGTCTTAATAAGTCTATAAATTAAGATATCTTAATATGCTAAAAATCTATAAGAGCATTTATAATATTAATAAATTTTAAAGTTATTAAAGGACTCTATATAGAAATAAAATTAGATTATATAATTCCATATATATGTAGACTAATCTATAAATGGATTAGCTCCCGCTATAAGCGAGCTACATAGGTATTATTTTGTTTTCTGTAGCATTATCATATTTTAATACATTACGAATTTTGGCAAGGTTGTACGAATAGGCTGCCGTACGCAGGAGATAAGGAAAGCCTTGATAGGATTGTTGTCAGTTCTTCAAAGGGTCTTGCTGAGATCACAAAATCCAAATCACCAACAGTTCAATTTATCCACGAATCTGTTCGAGACTTTCTCACCAAAGACAACGGTTTGCGTGAATTATGGCCAGAACTTGAGATTGAATGGCAGAGCTCAAGCCATGAGGAACTCAAAGAATCCTGCCGCTTCTACCTCAGCCAGCCTATGGTGTCTTCGTCCGTTGAACATACATCATCTATCTTGCCGAAGCCCGAGATGCAGGAACAAGTCTTGCAGAAATACCCGTTTTTCAAGTATGCGACTCAAAATATTCTTTACCATGCTAATGCTGCGGCAGAAGTCTTTTCTCAGAATGAGTTTCTCTCTCGCTTCCCAATCCCGAGTTGGATTCGGATGAATAATCTCTTTGAAAAGCATAAAGTTCGTGAATATACCTCCGCTGCAAGCCTGTTCTACATTCTTGTAGACAAAGGATTATCTAGGCTTGTCCGTGCGAGGCCTAGAGAAGAGTCACAAATTCGTTCGCATGGAGAAAGATATCACTACCCACTGTTTGCCGCCTTGGCTAACGGCGACAAGGACACGGTTGCTGCTCTTTTGACCTCGCCCTCGTGCAACGAAAAAGGCGTTGACATTATGGAGGGTCTGAGATACCGAAGCGATCTTAAGGATTACAAAGATAGAACACCACTGTCTTGGGCCGCTCAGCATGGTCGGCTCGGTATTCTAAAGCTTCTACTTCAGACAGGAGCAGCAATTGATGAGGTAGATGGTAATGGGTGTACAGCGCTTTTACGTGCTTCTGAGAATGGCCAAGAGGCAGCGGCAGAGCTTCTTATTAAAGGAGAAGCTGACATTAATTTCGAAGATGACAGGGGATGGACAGCGCTTCTCCTTGCCTTACAAAATGGTCATGACAATGTAGCAATGCTACTTATTGACCATGGAGCCGATATTAATACTAAAAATGATTTTGGTATGACACCACTTTTATTGGCCATAGAGAAAGATCACGATAATGAGTCAATCATACGGCTTCTTGTTGATAAGGGGGCCAATATTAATACTAAAAATGATTTTGGTATGACGCCACTTTTATTGGCCATAGAGAAAGATCACGATAATGAGTCAATCATACGGCTTCTTGTTGATAAGGGGGCCGATATTAATGCTAAAAGTGATTT